TAACCTTTTTAACATCCTGCTGGAAACGGTCATATGAGAGCCAAAGGTGAACAGAAATGGCACTCTGTACACCAAACAACACCAATTACTCGCCTACGCCGATGACATCGACATAATGGATCGAACATTGAAAGCGGTAACAGCCACCTTTGAACAAATTGAGAAGGAGTCTGCCAAAGTGGGTCTGGCAGTAAACAGCGAGAAGACCAAGCAGATGGTATCAACGCGGAAGACGTCCAGTAGACTCGGACCAACTGTGGAACTTGAGAACTACAGCTTCGACATCGGCATTGTTAGACGTACATCGGCATTGTTAGACGTATTGAGCTGCAGCGACTACGTTGGCTAGGTCATGTTGTGAGAATGGATGAAGATGCTCCAGCCCAAAAGGCATATAAAAGTGGCCTTCCCCTTCACGCAGAAGGGGAAGTCCATGAATAAAATGGAAAGATCAAGTGGAGGACAACATTGCCGACGCGGCTGGAAATCTTTTTTAGGCTCGGCTTAAGGAACGAAAGTTCTGTCACAAGCCAGCTAAGTAAGTAATAATAGGCGTGGATTTGTTAAATAATTTTTTCTATAAAGACCCCCGGACTCCATTCCCGAAAATAAATAAAAATGCCATAATTTTTTTAGTTTGGTTTTTAATAAATTTTATTGTTTTTGTATTTATAGATATAATTATTGTTTTTTGTTTTATTTTTTATTTAGGTTTTGAAAACATTGTTACAGTGGATTAAAAAAATAGTACAATGAGGAAGGAACGGGTCGGTCATTCTGTCTAAAAGAGAGATAGAGATCGTTCATCCCTAAAAATAAGTTGTAATTGTTATTTCATCTTGTTCGCTGTGGTTTCATTGCTCCTGAACGGAGAATGAAATATTTTTACTATTTTACTGATTGATTTGGTTTTGGTATGTTTGAATTTTTCTTTTTTGTAATCTTATTTGTTATATATAATCGGTTTTATTTATTTTTTTTGTTCATATATATATATATATATATATATATATAATATAGAATTAAAGTTATTGGTTGATGTTGGTTTGCTTGCTTTCTTGTCACTTAAAAATTAGTAAATATTTGTTTTTTAATAAAGAAAAAAATGTTTTTTTTTATTTTATTTAAATTGTAATTTGTTTTTTTTTTTTTTTTTTATTTTTTGTTTTTGATAATTATACAGTTTTTTCTTTTCTTTTAATTTAAGGAATCAATTCATTAATATATATTACTTATAGATGATGCTCATATGTGTTTGGGTGTGAGTTTTTTAAATTATATTTTACTAAATTTTTATATTTCATTGTTTTATATATTTGAAAATTATAGAGAAAAACAAAAATCATTTATTTCTTGTGGACGTTTTAACTACTTTTATTGTTTTTGGATTTCTTTAATTTGTTCTGTTATGTTTGAACATAAACAATTTACAAAAACTACATTTTTATAAAAAGTAAAACTGAGAAATTTCCTTGAAACATAATAATAAAATTTAAAAACAAAATACTAACTAATACTATTAATTAGGAAACACATATATTTCTTTATAATAATAATATATATGTTATTGTATTTTTATATTTTATTTTATAGTCTGCTATTTGAAAAAAAGAAAATATATGACTACAATATTTGGGCTATATATACAATATACTCAAATAAAAAATAATAATATATTTTATGAAAATATGGCTGTTAATTTTTTTAATTAATTTATTATTTTTTTAATTACCAGTATATAGTGAGGTTATGAGAGAGACAAAATGTTTTAAATGTTTATTTGTCATTGTTGTTGTTTACCAAATTACAGTCTAGTCAATTCGAAAATTTGTCTGAAATTTTTAAGACTACTTCAGTTCACCTGCAAAAACTTCCTGGCCATCAGCTCATCTATAAAAACTTTCTAGTCTCCAGCTAGTCTCTCTGTTCTACAGCTGGTCCATATAGACTCTCTGACCATTTTAAGACCCCCTTTTCTTCAGTTCGCCTTTAAAGATTTTTTGGCCATCAGCTCATCTATAAAGACTTTCGTGCATCCAGCTAGTTTCTCTGTTCTCGTCTCTCAGCTCGTCTATGTAGACTCTGGCCATTTTAAGACCCCATTTTCTTCAGTTCGCCTTTAAAGACTTCCTGACCATCAGCTCATCTATAAAAACTTTCGGGCCTCCATCTAGCCTCTCTGTTCTACAGCTGGTTCATATAGACTGTCTGATTATTTTCAGACTCCCTTTTCTTCAGTTCGCATTTAAAGACTTTCTGGCCTTCAGCTCGTCTAAAAAAACTTTCGGGCCTCCTACTAGTCTCTCTTTTCTACAGCTGGTCCATATAGATTCTCTGGCCATTTTAAGACTCCCCTTCAGTTCGCTTCCCACCTGCCTTCGCCTTGGTCGCCTATAAAAACTTTCGGGGTTTCAATTCATCTAAATACTCCCTGGGTTTCAGATCGTCTATATGACTCTCTGACAATTTTTAAGACCCCCTTTTCTCCCATTAATTTGTCTATAGAGATTCCCTTCAGTTCGGTTATAAATAATCCCTTAAGCTCGTCTATAAAGACTCCCTGACCTTCAGCTCGTCTATAAAGACTCCCTGACCTTCAGCTCGTCTATAAAGACTCCCTGACCTTCAGCTCGTCTATAAAGACTCCCTGACCTTCAGCTCGTCTATAAAGACTCCCTGACCTTCAGCTCGTCTATAAAGACTCCCTGACCTTCAGCTCGTCTATAAAGACTCCCTGACCTACAGCTCGTCTATAAAGACTCCCTGACCTACAGCTCGTCTATAAAGACTCCCTGACCTACAGCTCGTCTATAAAGACTCCCTGACCTACAGCTCGTCTATAAAGACTCCCTGACCTACAGCTCGTATATAAAGACTCCCTGACCTACAGCTCGTCTATAAAGACTCCCTGACCTACAGCTCGTCTATAAAGACTCCCTGACCTTCAGCTCGTCTATAAAGACTCCCTAACCTTCAGCTCGTCTATAAAGACTCCCTGACCTTCAGCTCGTCTATAAAGACTCCTTGGGCTTTAGCTTGTCTATTTTGTTATGAATTAATGAAAAAACAACAACAATTTTGATTTGATAATTTTGAAAACAATGACGTCATGATAACCATGTTTAAAATAATTTATATATTTTTGTAATTATTTTTTCGAAATTATAGAAAACCTCAATACTGGTTTATGTTTGTTGATGTAAATATATTTCAATTTTCTTTTAATACACAATAAATTATGAGCTAAGCTAAAAACATTTTCAAAATTGTTTATATATATTAATGTTATAGTAATATATATGATTATTTGTTTTATTTAAATTTAAGAATTAAATTTAAATATTTTTTTTGTAATTTAAAAATGTTTTGTTTTTTTTATTTTGAATAATTAATTGATATTTTTTTTTTGTTTTATTGAATAACTTTGAATTTTTTCGGAGAATAAAAAGGGGGATAAGGAATAGAAACAACACATACAGGCAATGGAAAAAAACAAATGCAACTAAATAACAATTTTTTTTCCTTTTGAATAATTTTCTGTTTTCAAACTGTCTTAAGGATTTCTGTTTTTTATTATTTTATAATAATAATATTTAAACAAATACATATACATATTAAATAGTTTTATTATTATTTTAATTTTCTTTTTGTTTGGCTACACAATAACATTGTTGTAGGACAAATAGTTGAAGGGGATATAATTTTTTTTTTATTTTATTTTGTATATAGGAATAAAGAACAAACAAAAAAGTTTATATATAATATTTATATATTTTACAATATAAATTAGTTTCAGTTTTTTTTTTTTCGTTTATTATAATATATATTTTATTATTTATTATTAATACATTGAATTTTTAAATGTTTAATTGTTTCAAAACCGTTTTATTCTTTTGTTGTTGTGAATACTTTTCTTTGTTTCTTTTAGTTTCTATTTTTCTTTTGTAATATTCCTGATTGATTTTGTTTTTTTTTTTACAATTTTTAATTTTTTTCTTCATAATGTTCAACAGAATGTTAATTTTCTTTTCTTTGTAGCATACCTTTAGGCTTACGTGTTATTATTTATTATTGCAACACAAGGACTGTTATAAAGGAATTTGAATAAAAAAACAACAACTACTCAAAATTGAACCAATAGCATTTGAAACAAAATATATTTTAAAACTAAATACAAATATTTCATAACCGAATAAAGTAATAATAATTAATTTTTTATTTAAACAACCCAGTATACAAAATAGTGTTTGAAAAAAATATATTTTAAAATTAGAAAAAAAATATTTCAAAACCGTTTAAATTAATAACAATTATGTTAGTTTGTTTAATTAAACCAATAATTTGTTTGGGTAAACAAAATTTTGCTTTTAATCCAAAACTTTATTTTTTTTTAAATATACATTTGAACCTAATTTTAATTTATTTATTTATAAATTAATTTTTTTTACTTCAGTCCAATTGTGCTGAAATAATAATAATTTAACTTCTTCTCAGGGTTTTGATTGTTTCTCTTCATTTCTGTAGCATACCTTTAGGCGCAACTATGGCTCTAACCAATTTTTCAATTATAATTAATTAATTTTTTATTTGGTACTTGGAATAAAGTTGCTTCTTCATTTTTAATATTTTAAATGTGTGTGTATATATAGTTTGTTTTATTGTTGTTTGTTTTGTTTATTTCTTGAATAAACCTATTTTTGTTTAAATACTTTACAAATATTTATTTTATAATTATGTTATATTATATGTGTGGTGTGTGTGTAGGGGAAGGAAGTTAGGCGGCAGGAGGTTTGGAATAAAATGTATAAAGTTTCATAAAAATTATAATAATATGATTATTTGTTTTATGCACAAATAATGTTGATTGATTGTGATTTTTTTGTTATATATAAATTTCACATTACATAATTAAAAATTTATTTTGCTTGGTATGTTGTTGTTGAAATGTAATGATGGCGTTGAAAATGGTGGTGGTGGTTGGTTGGTTGGGGTGTTGAAATATATATATTTTTTCTTTTTTGTTTAATATTTTTGGTTTACCATATCTGTGAATGAAAGAGAGAAAAAAGAGAGAGAAGTATAAATTATATATAAATAAAATAATTATGTATAAAATAAATAAACAAAACAAAATTATTATTTTGGCATTACAACAACAAAAAAACATATAGTTAACAAAAAATGCTCAAATTATTACTAAGATGCTGAAAAAAGTTTCGGTTTGATATTAGAAATTATACATAAATACAAAAATATATGTATTTTGGGATCTCCAACATAAAATATATTCTTAAGACTATTTATTTGGATTTGCAAGGTTTTGGTGTTAAGGCATGAATTTAAATAAATGAGTAAATAATCTCTAAACTGCAAAAAGCTTGGGATTCCGATTAGAAATTGTAATTGCAAAAAAATATAATTTTGAAGTCTTCAAAAAAGGCCACATCATATTCGAAACTGCAAAAGCCCAAAATAAAAACAAAAGAAACGAACAAAAAACTGCATTTGCTGACATCAAACTGTGTTATTTTTTAAGCCCATAGGGGTGGAGGGGGGTACTTACATCCTCAACGAGCATTTTTAATATATGAAAATAAAATAGTGACAATATACAAAAGTTGGGTGTAACTTTAAAATGTCCACCGGGAAATGTAATTTGGGGAAATTATTGCCAACCCATTGCTAGAAGAAGGAGATATAAAAAATATTTTGTAAAAAAAAATCAATAACAATAAAAAGTATATTTGTCGGTGGGGGAAGTGGGGAATTTACTAGGAAAACTAAAATGGAATTTGGGAATTGAGGATCGATTGCCTATTTATCTTCCTACTAAAAACTGAACAATTCCAGTATATAATGTTATATATGGTGGATTTCTTGTGATCATGGGAAATCGCCTCTATCCTAATTTATTTTTCTCAAAGTACAATACAGATCTGCACGGTATCGTGGCATTACATAGGTTATCGTGAATCCACGGTCTAAATTAATTCAAAACCTATTATCTATAGATTATGCAGGTTCCATACGATGGTAGGTCAAAAGGCATTATATGTAGCATCCAACAATTAATACTTTTCCATTAAAAAGTATCAAAAAGTACCGCAGGCCACACTGCCGACGTATATCTGACAAAATATCGACCGGTAGCTTTAGAAAACGCCAAGGCTTTTAACTATGCGCCCAAGTGCTCCCAAGACCGATATAGGGATATGATTCCCTTCAACACGTTTAGTACATATAGGAGCTGCTCATATGTGTAATATCCTGCCGATAGAAAAGAATGTAACCGAAAGAAAGATTTTGTGTATATGGTGGAGGAATAAAAAACTCTTCGGTGCACAATTTACACAAAATCAGAGGAAAATATATACGAGAGTTATATGTTAATCTCACCCGATTCTAACAAACATTAACACATATCATTCTAAACTCAGCTCAATATCCTCTGCCAAATTTGGTGTAAATCGAACAAACATAGGCTCTTTGGTGCACCATATACATAAAATCGGATGAAAATATATATATGGAAGCTATATCTAAATCTTTACCGATTTCAACGAAACTTTGCACACATAATTATAGACTTAATACGGTATGGTATTCCAAATTCCGTCTTATTTGGACAAATATCGAGAATTTAGTGCACCATTAAAATGGAATCGGATAAACATATGTATGGGAACTGTATCTGAATCTGTTCCGATTTTCATTAAACTTTGCAAAGATATTTCTAGACTCAGTTTGATATGCAATGCACAATTTCGTGTAAATCGAATGAAATATAAGGACATTGGTGGCCCATTTACATAGAATCGGACGAACATAAATGTGCGAGCTATATTAAAATCTGAACCGTTTTATACAAAACTTCACATATGTCAATCTTTACTTAATTCAATGAGCTGCGCAAAATGTTATCGCAATCTGGCAAAAATTGTGACTTGGGGAACTATTGTGATTACATCATGTACTCACATTGCTTGCTATGCGTCTACATGGAAGCGACAGAGTGAGTAGATGGGCAGTTGTATAGGTGCAACGTGTCGTGTGGTCCTAGTCCAATTTGTTACCATTAGGTCCAATTTGTTACCATTAGGAATAGAGATAGGTACCATACTGATCTTAGCTTTGATATGACTACTCGCGTTTGCCTTTTAGGTTTAGGCAGCTGTTTTTTCTCTGTTACCATGAATGGGTGATGACCTCCAAATACAGGATTCATATGGTATTTAATTATTAGAGGCCAACAATGTCTCATTGTCAGTTCACTAAGTATTCTATCTTATCCCAAATAGCAATGGAGTGCTCACACGACTGGAAAAGTCTATCGAGCGTCTACACTCAATCTTGGTGAAATTGTTTGTGGGAGTATTATCTCAATCGACCATTATGTTAAAACGTAGCTTCATTTCAGCTGTTAATTGCGGGTTGCCAGATCATTTATCAGGTCTGGTACCACTTACCCATGAGGGACACTCTCAATTACCATGTGGGATACTTTTGAGCTGTTAATGTTCTCAAAATTTGTGAAGGGGATTACAACTCTTCTGCGGGTTGCCAGGTTTCATCATATGCATGCCTGGTGCCTTATACCTATAAGGGGCACCCTCACCCTATCTCAATCTGAATTGATTTTCACGATTTTCATTCTAGACTTAATTTAGCACGCTATGCCAAATTTCCTCCAAATCGAAGGATACACAGAAACTTCAGTACACCATTTACATTAAATCGGAACAAAATATATATGTGAGCTATATCTAAATCTGAACCAATTTTCAGGAAACTTAACACACATCATTCTATACTTAATTCAGTACGCTACGTCAAATTTCGTCCAAATCGAAAGATGTACAGGGACTGTAGTACACCATTTACATTTAATTGGACGAATATATGGGCAATATTGCCAATTTTTTAACATAGCTGAAGCGGAGGTTCACCCCTTTATAACTCGGGAATTACTTAAATGTATGAAAAAAAGTGAATAGTTTTGGGTTAATTGTTCTGTCGTTGCAAACTGTTCATGATATTGACCTCCAAACTTTATTTTGGTGGAAGCTATGTCTACTTTAATGTAAAAAAAATGTGTAAAAACAGGTTGAGGCGAACCAGTTTTTTTATGTTCTCTATCGATTTGTGACTAAGCCACTCATTGCACGGTCTTCGTGTCAAAAAAAAAAAAAAAAAAACTAGAAGCCAACAAAATGGGGACTACGCCCCTTATGTATCATTTTTCAAAATTTTAACTGCATCTACCTTTAAATGATGCTGACATTTTGAAGCTCGATTTTGAGCGTTTTTTTAATTTTACTTCTAGCTTTAATACGCAAACAGGAATTTATAAAAATCGATTATATAATTATTGTAGTCGCTAATCTGCGTAATTTGATAAGTATTTTGTGTATGTAGTATGCACAGCTTCAGAGTAATACTCATCCGATGGTGGAAATTTTGTGCAATCAAATTACTAAAAAACCTATTTTTCGTGCCAAATTTTTAGATCTGTCAACTGAATGATATGAGTACCCGCGATCAATAAGGTTTTTTACGTTTCGGATGATATAAAATCTTCTTCGTGAAAATCCATCTACTAGAACGGCGGGAACTGGCCTTCCAAAAACACGAAATTTGGCAAAAAATGTTTTTGAAAATATCGCGGATTTATTTGCGTTTTCTATGTATCATTTCCGCTTCAATAAATGACCCCATACGGATTTTGATTTTTTTCGAAAAGAGAACTTTTAAAACTTCAGCCGAAAGAGAGATGTACGCAATTTATCTCAAAAATAGATTGTGCTGGAACATCCATGGTTCTTAATGGACCACATTGAAATGGTAAAGATCGATGTATTTTTCTAGGGTGCACACCGAAATCGGATGCGCGTTAATTGCATATGGAGTTTTCGGAAATTATTCGCGTTTTATGATTTTTTGGGTACTTCAATGTAACGTGTGGCACATCTTAGCCGTCAAATGAAATTTCGCAAAATATATATGGATTGGAAGATAAACTTCAGTACTTTCTGGAAACCGCATGCGCATAAAATGATTTTGATAATTTCGCGATTTAGACGCAATTTATCTAAAAAATAGTGTGAGCTGGCACATCCATGGTTCTTAATGGACCACATTGAAATCGGTATAGATCGATGTATTTTTTTAGGGTGCACACCGAAATCGGATGCGCGTTAATGGCATATGGAGTTTTCGGAAATTATTCGCGTTTTAAGATTTTTGGGTACTTCAATGTAACGTGTGGCACATCTTAGCCGTCAAATGAAATTTCGCAAAATATATATGGATTGGAAAATAAACTTCAGTACTTCCTGGAAACCGCATGCGCATCAAATGATGATTTTAAATATAGTTCAGTGTTTCAGATGGTAAGAACGGTCCTGGCAGTCGTATTATCCTATATAATGGAAATCACATCGGCAAATCCAAAATCAACGGATTTGTCATTAAACTCATATAATATAATATCTAATATCTCCTTCCGAATTGAGTCTAAAAATATAAAATTTTAAACTAAGAAGATTTTATGGAATTAATTTAAACGGGAAAAATAGATACGTTCAAACCTAGTGTGGAGAGGCAAATAATTGGATTTGATACTATGGAAGATTAGAGAAATTAATGGAAACAAGAAATATATACATACAATTTTTTGGTTCTAAATAGGTAGTTCAATTTTAGGGGCGGTAGGGTAAAACTAAACTAAAAATGTGTGAAGAAAGTAATACAAATCTGGGGAAACCTTTTTTACTTTGTATGGAGAGCTGACTGATATCTGGGGTAGAGATATATGGATCTAATGCATTTTATCTAAATATTTGTTTAAGTGAAATTTACATAGTTTAAATGTTATGTCTGTCTGTGTGATATTGTGATTTTTTAATATTAATTTATATAATTATATATTATAATATTAATTATAATTTGTTTCTTTTTCATTTATTTTCTTTTCTTTTTTGAAAGTTGTTGTTTTTTGTGTTAATTTAAGAATTAGACAACACACAATTCGATGATCTTAACACATTTGAATTCGGAATTATAAACTTGTTCAATTTTTAATTTTAATATTAAAAAAAACTATTTTCAATTTTATTCTTTTCGAAATTTATGTAGAGAGTAGGAGCTAGAGTAGGCGGAGAATGGGGGGCGATCCATGAAAAACTGTTTTCATATTTCAGAATTTCTTTTTTTCAAATTTTTTAACAAAGTAAAAAGTTTTTGAAATTGTTTTTGGTAACTATTTTTTTGGTTTAAATAATTTTTTTTTTTTTTTTAACATTGCTCCAAACATGTTGTATTTATTTTTTGTTATTAACTATGTTGTTGTTGGTATTGTTGTAATATCAATTTCTTTTTATATACCTGGTGTATATGTTGTCTGTTCTGTGGTATTCAACGATGTTTGCTCATTGGCTGCCACGGGTGCACCTGTGAAGGGATTAACTCCGGTAGCCGGTGGTGGGGGCATGGCAAATACAGGCTGCTGACCACCACCTAGACCAGTTGATGTGGTGCTGTTGGCACCGCCACCGCCGCCCATTTGTGGTTCATCCAAATCCACCTCCTCCTGTAAAGAAACACACAAACACAATATTTTATTAATATTTATAAAATTATTAAATAAAATAATTATATATTTAAAAGCTGTTCAAAAAATACCATTTTGTATACTAACACACAAACTACGTACTTAACTTATTCTAATATCTTAAATTATATATATTTATTAAAAAACAAAATAGAAATCAAAATTCACACTACCTTGAAACACCATTCCACAGTTTTTTTTAGTCTTAAAGAGTTGTATATATATATTTTATATTTTGTTGTTGGTTTTTAGTTTAGGATAGAAATAGTCAACTAATGTTACATACTTAAATACAAATACATTTCAAAGGTTCTTGCCCACAAATGTTTATTAATTTATACGAAATTTTTAAAATATTTGAAAGGAAAGTATTGTCGTTGTTTGTTAATCCACCACACCACCTCTTGCTTTGGATTTTTAATATTAAAAACTGTAATTACTTAAATCTATAAAAAAGTTTAATACTGATTAAGTAAGTTGATCATAATTAAAAATTATGAGGTAGGGGAGGGAGTTTGTTATGACAAAAATGAAAATTTTCGGTATGAATGAACGCCTAAAGCATCTAGCTTTGTGAAGTTATTAAAAAAAATACATTATACAGATGCTACCAACCCCAATTCAAATAATTCAAAACAATATATCAACATATAAATCAAGATAATAGTCGATAATGGTCTAGCTTCTATAGGTCTGCCGTTGGTACTACAAAAAATCTCCTTAAGGGAGAGAAATTTGATATTTGTGACTACAAACCATGTTAGATAATAATGAAGATCTTGATCTATTACATTTATTCTGATTCATACGATAGCTATGCATACACAGAACAATTTGTTAACATTTGGGTTCGATTGAATTATTAGGTTTCGCAAAAATTATTGAGAAAAACGCGTTTAAAGATTGCGAAGCACTCTTGACGACTTTTAATGTTAACACAATAAATCGGTTATATCTTCAAGAGTTATTTAGACTTTCACTTGAAATTTTAAAGGGACATTCATGAATTAGTGTAGGTCCGAATTAAATAGAAAAACAAAATTCAATTTTTTGAATCCAAGATGGGGGGTCCTCTTAAACAATTCAAAACGAACGTTAAGATAGGCCGGAACGAACTTCCTATTCTCATGATATTAATGTCCGCCCAAAGCCGCTGCAATTCATTATCGCGCTGATGACTATTAGAATTATATTCGTCTATGTGAAGCTATCGGACGCGTCCACAGGTTGCGGATACTGGGAATGCCTATAGATTCCAAAACGTCCAAACTCCCCGGTGCAACTGCCTTGACACCCTCAGTCTGAAATGTCAAAAGTGCAAGACACTAAAATGTGAACTCGGACACGGACTCTTCATAGGTTCGCTAAGGGCTCCAATTTGGCAAGACAGAGCGAATCTTTATTTACCTTCATACTCAGTTTCCGTCTGATTCAAGAGAGTATCCCAGCCGAAAACGTAATCAAAACTTTACCATCTAGTCAACAGAGACTGTCAAGTTTTCCATGGCAGAAACTGTCGTTAGTGCATCGACCTCAGCCGACAAGGCGGTGCTTCCGAGGCATACGGCCACTGAGGGAAATGAAGGCACAAGTGGATGTTTCAAAGATACTTTGAACCCCTCGCTGTTTAGCAAGACTTATCGGAGTGGAGTTTCGTACTGTCAACGATATGTTAATAAGGACACCAACAAAAAGAAATTCAATTGGATCAAAAAAAAAAACATAAGGGTCGTGAGGAAGTACGAAAGGGACTATCTTCACAAGGCCTGAACTTATTTTCGATCGAATTCCTACCTCGCGTACAGTGGCTACTGCTGCAGGGACCTCTATCATGACTGCGGTAAATGAAACCCACAGCAAAGCATCAAAGTATGAGTCAAACAGGAGTTGAGTCAGCAGTAACTCAATTCCTATGGCAATGAAGAGAATGAGATCGACGGAGTAAATGACTTTCAGCTCCTTTGTGACTGTACCCCATAAAGAGATCCGGTTTGGAATGGTGGAATCTGTATGAAGAACGCTGGTCTTCATATGGGTAATTGGCGCATGATGAATTTTTTTACATAGAACGGCGGTCAGGTTATCAAATATGCGGAAGAAAACTTCCTAAGGATTTAGAGAGGTGTTGTGGTTTATGTCTAATTATAGTCACATTGGTTGGAAAAATGCAGCCTTAGAACGTCTACAAAAGTACAACTTGTCAATACAACATCTCATCGTGCCGATCAAAGATTCGATAACCTGGATTCCGCTCAGACAAACAAATTGTCTTTAAAAAATAAAGACTATATTTTGCTCGTAAGAATAATCCTTGTTGTCAGTGGATCATTACGAATCTCACGAAAGAGTCATGTAGAAAATTACAGATTGCCAGTGATCGAGAAGGAAGTTGACGCATCTAAATTAACCAATTACATTTGTTGCTGGTCTCACACTACACATCTGACCCAATAAATATTCTTCATGCTACTGTTGGTTATATGAACTCTTCAGATTAAATTTTGTTCGATTTTTCGATTCCTCTCCAGGTTTAACGTATATATAAATACCGAATTGCGACGTTAGTGTAGAATATTTTGGACCATATAATTTTTAATTGTGTATTATCTCGTCCATTTTAGGTATTTACATAGCTTCAGTATATAGCAATACATCCCGATTTGACCTGCTCTCCGATTTTATGTAAACGGCGCACCAATCTCCCAATATGGGTCCGATTGAAACAAAATTTTGCACAGAGTACTAAATTAGGTCCAGATTGATGTATGCAAAGTTTTATTGGAATCGGTTCAGATTTAGATATAGCTCTCATATATAGTTTCCTCCGATTTTATGTAAATTGTGCACCATACTGTCAATGTTTGTCCGATTGAGACAAAACCGAATATTGAAGATACTACAGGTTGACATCCGTATTGAAATAACTGCAGGTTGACGTCCGTGAAGTTTTGTTGAAATCGGTTCAGATTTAGATATAGCTATCATATACCGATTTTTTGTAAATGGTGCACCAAACTACCAATATTGGTCCGATTGAATTTTATTTTACACAGAGTACTGAATTTAGGTCTAGATTGATATATGCCAAGTTTTGTTGAAATCGATTCAGATTTAGATATAGCTCCCATATATAGTGTCGTCCGATTTTAAATAAATGGAGCACCATAGTGCCCATATTTGTCCGATTAAAACAAAATTTTGCACAGTTTACTGAATTAGGTCCACATTGATGTATGCAAAGTTTTGTTGAAATAGTCCAAATTAATGTAAACAGCACACTGAGGAGTCTATGCTTTGGCTAAGTTTGAAATCGGCTCAGATTTAAATATAGCTCAGATATATATTTTACTCTCATTTTGTGTAAATGCACGATATTTTGTTGTTGAAATCGTTTCAGATGTAGATATAGCTTCCTCATATATTTTTTTCCGATTTTATGCAAATGGAGGAGCTTATATCTGTTCGCTTTAAATGAAATATTGATTAGCATATTGTATTGAAGATGTTTCAGGTTTAGATATTGCTTCCCTCCAAAGATCTAAAGGGTTTTGTACATATGAGCATCTCTAGTATGTACCCAAAGTGGTGAAGGGTATTATACTACTACTTTCCTTACTGGTTTTAATTTTTTTTAATATGTTTAATAGCTATTAAACATATTAAAATTGTAAATATTGATTTTAAATATTGATTTTCATATATTAATTTTTGTGGTATACAAAATGGTTTTTATGAATTCACTTTCAAGAGATTTCTAATACGATATATGTAAAAAATGTTGCATTGAATAATAAAAAAAATATTCCAAAATAATAAAAAAAATATATTTTTTTTTTGTTTTCTTGTACATAATACAAATTTATTACGTTAATTATATACAGTGATTTTTTGGATATGTATGTGTGTGGGTGTATAATTATTATATTTTAATAACAACATTTGTGCTTAATACTGTATTTCGATACAAAAAATTAGATGTTAGTAAACCAGAGATAGGGGTGTGCAACAATTTTTGGGGTTGTAAGTCTGAGTGTGTGGGGATATACAAATTTATTTACTTACAAACTATTAAAAACATTATGTATGTAGGTATATAATTTTTGGAGCCTTAAAACCAAAACAGATAAAATACAATTTTCAAATTAAAAAAAATATACGCGTGTATGTGTGCGTTCTGTCAATTTTGTTTTAACAATCAATACAGATATTAAATTGAATGAAAAAAAAATACCACCAACAAATAGACGAAATTTAAACCGTTACAACATCTTGCTAAAAAAAATAAAATTAATTAAATAAAAATATATTAAATAATAATTACAAAATAAAAGTATATATTAAATGTATGATGAAAGAAAGAACGAAGAAAAACAAAATGACAACTACAAAGCCAATACATGCACAGCTGGCTAAAATATGACAGACAAAAAAACAGGTGGTTTATAATGAAATAGAAATATATTAGGTGCAAAGAAGGAGGGGTAGTAGTGAGTGTGGGCCAGGTTGGGGGGTTAGGAAAATAAAGAATTGTTAGATGCCAGCAGTAGTACTTACTAGTCGTTCGGGATTACCCATATTTGGGGGACGTTCACTAGCGTCTTTAACTTCACCGTCACGCTGAATATTCAATAATAACAATAATAAAAAAACGTTATGAACAAACCAAAATAAATATAAGAGATAATATAATAATTATTTAATGATATAAAAAAAATATAATTTTAATTGATTAATTTGGAAAATAAGAAATAAATAATTTACTTAAAAAAATATGTAATTTTTTACGAAAATAAAAAAAAAACAAGAAAAACAAAATACTAGTTCTTCATTTCAATTTTAGATTCAACAATTTTGGGGTTAATTAGCAAAAAGATTTGGTTTCACACTTGAAAAAAATAAATATTGACAAAAAAAATTATTTAAAAAATCGAAATAAAAATAATTTAACTAAATAAGTAAAAAATAATCGGTAGACTAGA